ATATATATATATAATTAAATTGGTGGATTTAAAAAAAATCTCTTCAGATGAACAGAGAGAACTAGCAGCCTCGGTGATCACTTTGTGTGACACCAGAAGCTGTCACACATCCCTGGAGATCTGAGGGTGTGTCCCCAAGATGGAACCAATCACTCATGACAGCAAAAATGGTACAGAGCCCTGTCCTAATACAACAACTAGTGACTCATTTATTTCTTACAATAACCAAGAAGTAAGCGCTATCCTTATCCTCATTTTACAGATGAGAAAGCAGAGGCCCATAACAATGGACTAACTTACCAAAGCCACAGAGGCAGAGCTGGCACTGGGTGCAGCAGTACACTCCTGTAATCCCAGCACTCTGAAGCTGAGGCAGGAGGATTGCAAGTTCAAGCCCAGCCTGAGCAACTTAGTGACTGAGACCCTGCCTCAACATAAAAAATAAAAGAGCTGGGATGTAGCTCAGTGGTAGGGCTCCCCTGGGTTCAATCCTGTTAAAACAAAAACAAAGACAAAGCTTGAGGCAGAACTTGGATCTGCATCCAGATAGTCTCTGAGCACATGTGCCCAAAGAGGAATAGCATGGCTTGAGGGATGTTCTCGGGCTGCCCGGAGAAGGTGGCACAGCTCAGTGCCCACATCCTGTGCCAGCTCTCAAGATTATTCAGTCTTTACCACTATGCTAAAATGTTGTCCACACTACCTGTCACCTTTCATGGGGCCAAGAGTGATTAATGACTCCTCAATGCATACAAGAAAACAGTCACAAAGAGTTCACTGCAGTGAGTCATCGGTGAGGTTGGGGTCTCCAGGCAGGTTGTCTGACCCTCTCTTCCCACTGCCTTCTACTCTCACCCTTCTATGACTTGTACCATTGCCCCATTCTCCCCTATTTCTGATCTTTACCCCATCTTTCACCCTCAGTCTTGCTCTCCGAGTATAGTCGTTAAGAACATGGACTGTGGAGCCAAATCATATGGGTTCAAATCTCAGCTCTCTAAACCTCAATTGATCCATCTGTAAAAATGGGGATAAGAATAGTATTTACTGCAATAGCTTGTTATGAAAAATTTAATAGATCCTGGGCCGGGGATTTAGCTCAGTGGTTCTGCCGCCTGCCTTGCAAGAACAAGGACCTGAGTTCGATCCCCGGTACCAAAAAAAAAAAAAAAAAGAGAGAGAGAATTCGAGGCAGGTGGTGGAACCACTGAGCTAAATCCCTGGCCCCTTAAAAAAAAAAAATTCAAAAGATCCATATAAGTTAAATGCTTGGGACAGTGCCTTGCACACATAAGTACTGTATACTACACTTGATCATAGCCAAAAGGCCGAGAAGCGATCATAAGTACTGTGTAAATTTGTGTGATTATCTTTATGATTGACTGCCGCACATCCCTGTGCCTCTTCTCTCCTTCCATTTCAGGACCCTTTCTGGAAAGACATAGTCCTGGGATTTCGGAAGCTGACTCCCAGAGAACTGGACATGTTCCCTGATTATAGGTGAGGTTACTGTCATGCACAGAGGGACTGAAGTTTCACAATTCAGACAGAACTTTCCAGAAGGCAGAGAAGAATGGGGGCACCAAATCCTAGGGCCCCCAGAATCCTGGTCTCCTGGTGTCTGTCCACTAGGACTTTGGGCTGGGGAAGCAGAGGATCTGAAATCCTAGATCTCAAGTCCAAAGGCCCTACGGATTAGTCACCTTTCCATCACTATTACAAATACTGGACACAGGATACTTGTGAAGTAAACAGAATAAGGAGAGGTTTGTTTTGGCTCACAGTTGTGTAGGTTCAAGTCCAAGGTCAGGCATCTCCATGGGTTTTGGTCACTGGTGAGGGTGGTAGGAGCATGTGTTAGAGTGAGTGCTCACATTGTAAATGAGGAAGCAGTGAGAGGGGGTGGGCAGGTTCCTATAATCCCTTTGGAGGGAAGCACGTCCTCCAGTGACCTAATGACCTCCCACTAGGCTCCACTTCCTAAAGATTCCACCACCTCCCAACATTAGTACATTGGAAGACCAAGCCTTATATATGGACCTGTGGGGGACGTTCAACATTCAAAGCGTAGCACTCCATGTTACTGCCTTGTTTTGTAAATGAGGAAGCTAAGCTTCAGATAGGTTAAATGACTTCCTGAGGTCACACAGCCACATGATCAAACTAGGATTTTTACCCAGATTATGTGACTCCAAACCCTTTTCTTTTCTCTATAGTCTAATATCTCTCTAGTTCTCTCCTCACCCCATCCAATGTTTGAATACCCTCTACAAATGCACATGTGTTCACCATTTTCATTTCCTAATGCCAGGGCTGGCTTTGTCTGGTAGAAAACTTCTTGCATTGAGCTCAAAATTCTCTTCCCCCCCACCATGAACACTACCCAGTGGTTCTTGTTCTAGCTTTTGGGGACCCACCGAACAATTTTGATCCCATCCCCATGTCCTTTACAATCTTCAGAAATAGCTGATTCTAACTTCTATTGTTACCTTTTGCCTGCTGTGACTCTAGCTATGGCTGGTTCAACACAAGCCTGATTATAGAGGGGAAGCACTACTTGAAGTGGCTGACTGAGAGGTAAGATTTTAAGATTCAGTTTGAGGAAGACACCTGCCAGGGACCAAGCTGTAGGAGGAGACTGGCCAGGGGATTCTTCTCCTTTTTGCTCAACTGTTAGAGTTGAAGAAAACCCTTAGGTGAAGCATGGGAGCTATCCTTTCTCCTGATCCCCACTGCGCACCAAGGCTGTCGTTCTTTCACCTGGCTGGGCTTTAGAACCACATGGGGAGCTTTGGACTTGTTATATTTATTAGTAACTTCACTAAAATTCTTAGTGTTTGTATAGTTGTTTTACATGGGTTCTCTTAAATTTTATAGACCTTATTTACATCATTTGCAAAATATAGTTGTCCTTTATTTCTCTCTGTCTCTCTCTTTTCTTCTCTAATTGCTTTGGCCAGTATTCCTAGAACAATGATAACTCATCAAGTGATAATGGATGTGCTTGTCTTGTTCCTGAGGTTAACAAAAATCTCATCATGTTGCAAATTATCAAACACTGGCTTGAGGGAGATTTTGACATTCATAGTCATATACAGTCATATTAAGGAAGATTGCATATATTTCCTAGATTTTACTACTTTATTATTTTTTTAGAAATATGGAATGAATGGTGACTTTTATAAATGACTAAGGGCGAATATTTTAAAATAGAAATTTCAGGATTCTACTTTATACTTAATAAATTAGAACTCCCTGGGAAGGAGTTCGTCAGAATTTTGTAATTTAAGAAGTTCCTTGGATGATTCTAGTTATCAGCCTGGTTTAGAAATTGCTGTACTGATGGGATTATTTCTCCTAACAAGTGTGGGACACTTAATGGCTCCTATCCAGAGTCTTCGAGGAGAAAATGTTCCCCAATTTTTTATCTTGAGGCTATTTTAACATGAAGAGATTATACTTTAGCTTATCTTCATTTGTATTTATTATTATTATTATTATTATTATTATTATTGGTACCGGGGATCAAACTCAGGACCTTGCGCTTTTGAGGCAGGCAGTGGAACCACTGAGCAAAATCCCCAGCCCACTTTAGCTTATCTTGGTCAGCTTACTCCCTAGTCTTTCGATTTTTTTTTTTTTTTTTAATACTGGGGATTGAACTCAAGGCCTTTGCAGGCCCTCCCCAGTGAGCTGCATCCCCAGCCCCGCTCTTGGACATTTCAAGGGAAGGATGGATGTCCTCAGTCTACCTCCTTCCTCATGCCCTGCTTCTGACAAAGGAGCGTTTGGCCTTTGCCCAGCCCTGCCTCTTCTCCACCCCAAACCTGATCGCCTTTGACATCGCAAAGCCATGTGGTGTTCACTGAAAGGGAGAAAGTACAGAGGGTCCCAATCCCTCACTAAAGGACCTTTAGAAAGACCCTTCTCTGTTTGCCCAATGAGGGACAGGGCCTCTAGAGGACAAGGCTCCCCTGGGAACATTTTGTGGACAACTAGTCCAGCATGGTGCTCATGATTTGATTTGATGATATGGCCAGTTTCTCAAGGAGCCCATAGAAAGGTCCCCTATGTCACTTTAGGAGGGAAGGGGTAAGAACTGGATTGTAAGCTTCTGATGTATCTGTCCATGCCAGGTTGACTGAGAGGGGAGTGAAATTCTTCCAGCGGAAGGTGGAATCTTTGGAGGAGGTGAGCTGCAGGGTTGGGAGGGGATGGATGTGGCTGGGAGAAGGCCTCTGTTTCCTGATGCTGGGTTGGTGGCCCTTTTCAAGCTCCTAGAATCCCCTTTAGCCCTGTCCCAGACCTTAGCCCTTTTCTCAATCCCAGGAGGAAGCAGGCATGCTGAGGGAGGCGGTGTCTGCCTTGTGTTGGTTACAGGAACAAAGGAACAGCAAAATTGCAGTGGCCATTAATTTATTAATTTAGCTGGCCATGGTGGCCCACTCCTGTAATCCCAACACTCAGGAGGCTGATGCAGGAGGACTGTTGCAAGTTCAAGGCCAGGCTGGGCTACATATAATGAGTTTAAGGCCAGCCTGAACTACATAACAAGACCCTGTCTCAAGAAAAAAGGGGGGACTAATTTATATCTGTGCCTCAGTGAGTTAAAGGACCGGAGAGCCAGCTGCTTCCCTCTAGTAACAGCTGCACTCCACTCTCAAGGCCCAGACACTAGAATGCTTCCTACTGGCATCTGGTTTGATGTCTCTGTGAAGTCCTGTCCCTGAGCTAGGGCACTGGACGGAGTCATCCCATCATCATGAATAAGGATTTGGAGCAGCTGCCACCATCTAGCCATGGGCTGTGTACCAAGACCTTGACTGTATGACATCATTCATCCCCAGCACTCAGAAAACCCCTTAGCACATGGAAGGTGATCAGCATATGTCGCTACTTGTATTGTGTAGTGAGGACCCGCCTGTGCTGGGTTGGTCATGATGGACATTTGAGATCCATGGCTGGCTCCAACACAGGCCTACTTGTCAAACACGAGGCTTATAGAACAGCAATAGTGCACTGCAATGTGTGTGTCCTTGATTGACCTGGGAGGGGAGTCATTGTGACCAGAATGGGCTGGGTGGGGTGGGCTTAGGGGCTCATCACATTGCATCATTGATTAACAAGTGTCCCAGACATAGACAGAGCTGGGGCTTCCAGCAAATCTTCTACAAATGTCTTGGCAGAGCGCAAAGGAATGAAATGAAAAAAGGTCAGTAGGAGAAAGAGAATTATCTTGGCTTCCTTTCTGGCTTCTTCAAGGCTCCAAGGTCTCCCCATCCACAGTATTCATCTTTACACCCAGAGTTGCCTGAGGCCCTCATAGCAGCCTGTGAGCAGGCATTTCTGCCCTCTTCTATAATTGGGCACCTGAGTCCTGTGGAAGTTAAGGGACATGTCTGGTCACATGTTGGGGAAATGGCAGAGAGATTTGGAACCAATCTCCTCTGGTTTCCTCACTGGGCCCCTTGCCACTGTTTCATAGGGAGTAGACAGCCATAGAGTAGGAGCAGAGAAAAAAGAGGGGCCAGGGGACACTAAGGTCTTCATTCCTTCCCATCCCCTTTCCCTGTTGGTTGCTTCTAGGTGGCCAGAGGAGGAGCGGATGTGATTATCAACTCCACTGGGGTGTGGGCTGGGGCACTGCAGCCAGACCCCCTACTGCAGCCAGGCCGGGGGCAGATCATTAAGGTGAGTATGGGCTGAGATCTCCAGCTTTCATTGGTAGGAAGACTGCTGTCCATGCTGGTTTCCTTTCCAAAGCCAGTGGACCAATTGGGGACATCCACTAGAGTAACCCCAACTTTGGGTGAAGCAAGGACCAACCAGCCTTTGGCATCCCAAGAATTCTCTTTTGGGATTTGATTTTGTTCCCATTCCTGTTCCTGTCCTCCCTCTCCTCCTCCTCTTCCTTTTCTTTCTCCTTTTTTTTTTCTTTTTTCCCCCCTTTTCTTTTTTTGCAATATTCAAGATTGAACCCAGGGGCATTTTGAAACAGGGTGTTGTTAAATTGCTGAATTGCTCAGGGTGGGCTCAAATTTGTAATCCTCCTGCCTCAGCCTTCCAAGGTGCTGGTATTACAAGCCTGCACCACCACTGGGATTTCTTCTTGAGATCAAAGCCTGTATGGCTATATGTGTACCTAGGTGGGAGCTGCGGCATATATCTGTATTGTAATAAAAATATCAAACACTTAAGGACTTTACTAAGTGCTAGGCATAGACTTAAGCACTTGATTGTGTTAATTAATTTACCACCACCCTTTGAGATGGGTACTATCATAGCACCATTGCCACCTTACACAGGGAGAGCCCAAGGCACAGAGGAGTCAAGTAATACACAAATTCACACGGCAGCACATGGTGGGACTGGGATTAGAAACGAGGCAACCTGGTTTAAGAGCCTGGAGCTGCGACCATCATCCCATGCTGCCTCTCACTCTGTGTGAGTGTGTAGGGGGGTGAGTGTGTAAGTGCATGCCCATTTGTGGGCATGTATGTGTGCATGCACACATGTGAGTGCGCATGTGTGCATTCATAGGTGTGCTGGCTTGTGTGGTACTGATGAGGGCTAACAAATACATACATTTACCTGTGTGTGCTCAGGCTCTTCTAGGGACACAGGGATGAAGATGTGCAGTACTTCGGGAAGCAGGGGTAACTCCCAATCAGGGTGGGTCTTTCTGCAAAAGGCACGTGATCAGGTGCATTCTTGGGCAAGAGGGGTCATGAGAGGGACAGAGTTGGCTTTGTCTCTCTCTTGTTAGAACTCTGGCCATGGGAGAGCAAGGTCAAGAGCAGCCCATTCATCCAGCTACCCTGACAATTCTCTCTCCTTAATCAACAGGTGGATGCTCCCTGGATAAAGCACTTCATTCTCACCCACGATCCCAAGAGTGGGATTTACACAACCCCATACATCATCCCAGGGTAAAAACCTGATTTCTCTAGGCCAGAAGAGAGGGTACCTTCATGCCTTTTTATGCTCCTACTCCCTGCCCCAGGCCCCTTGCTTAGTGTCCACTGTCATGTTCTCCCAGTGTTTTGTTTTGTTTTGTCTTTTGGTTCCGGGATAGAACTCGGGTCCTTCCGCTTGCGATGCAGGCGGCAGAACCACTGAGCTAAATCCCTGGCCCGTCTGTCTCCCAGTATTTTGTGAGTTCAAACAATTAAATCCCTGGAAAGGTAGGACTCAGCCTTGATTGGTGTCCATCTTAAATATTCGTTTGGATGACAGTAGTAGTAAGGCTGGGACAAAGGTGGCAAGCGTAATGGCAGCGACACCAGATGATATCGGGGTGAGGATAGAATGGGGAGTAGTAATGGTAATGACAATGGCGACTGGGGTGGTGCTAACGGTGATGTTAGCAGAATGGTAATGTTGACAGTGGCAATGACTTAGTGGAGATGATAGTACAGGTTAGCAAGGGAGAGCATGGTGATAATCCTCGTTTATCTCGAAGGCTTCGTTTTCCTTGGCCCTCCTCATTTTTACCTAGGATGCAGGCAGTTACTCTTGGAGGCATCTTCCAGCTGGGGAACTGGAGTGAGATAAACAGTTCCCAGGACCACAACACCATTTGGAAAGGGTGCTGCAGACTGGACCCCACGTTGAAGGTAAGGTGGAGCTGGGGAAAAGGGCCCTGGACCAGCGACCCAGGAGCTTGGTCATGAACTTCCTAGAGGTTGGGAAGATATCACCATTGGGATAACTGGGCAAATTAATTCCAGCAAGGGACCATGGAATACACTAGAATTTGACCATGTACAAGGAAGTCCTTTCTAAGGGTCAATGCAATCTAACTGGGAATAGCTGAGAACTGCTCCCTCCTGAGATGCCAAAACCACTCATCTGTCTTCAAAAGGTGATGTACTTGTAGCAGAAATCTCGGTCTTCATGTCTGCCTGCTGTGGTGGTGAGCAATGAGGAGGAAGCTGGGGATGGAGCTGGAAGTTGATAATAGTAGTGAAAATGTAGGCGATGACAATGTTGATGAGGTGGTGACCACTGGTAATATTATGGCAGCAGTCAGTGGCGATGGTGGTGGTGGCAGTTGATGTAGACGGAATGGCTGACAGAATCCATGCAAGGTGATAGTCATGATGGTAGCGAATGTGGTAGCCAGTGGAGGTGGTGATGATAGTGGTGATTAATTAGGGTGACTCTGATGGTGTCGGTGGGGATTGTAATGACAGTCTGAAAGCTAACCTGCTACCACCTAAAAATGGCAACAGGAAAAAAAAATCCAGTGATGAGTTGCCAGTATTTTTCTTTCCAGAATGCAAGAATTGCTGGTGAAGCTACTGGCTTCCGGCCAATACGCCCCCAGATGCGTCTGGAAAGAGAACGGCTTCGTGTTGGATCTGCAAACACTGAGGTATGTTCTCCTGCCAAGGACAGCACTGCCCTCCCTGACTCCCAAGGTGACTGGCATTTCCAGGGAGATGTCCACACAGCCTGAGGGCAGGTGGCTAATGGCCTTCTCCCTACAGACAGGGAAACCGAAGTTTGATGCTGGTAAAAGATCTGCACTAGGTTACAAAGACAGCAATGCCTTGGTTTGCTAAAATTTGCAGTTGAGTAGAAGAAAGTGAGTACTTTGTGCCTCACAACCAGCAAGTTTATGTCCTGCAGCAAATCCAGAACACAATGGACCCTATTGGATCTCCCTGCAGCTCTCTGGGATAGGGATAGTTCTCCCCATCCCTCATGTGAGGAAATCAGAATTTTTCAAGGTGAAACTACTTGCCTGTCAGAGCACTGGTGAGAGAGTTTCCCAGATGTCCGTTTTGTGGCTGCCTCACCAACTTGGTGGGGGTCCCCTCTGTTGGGGTAGGCCCTGGGTTTGTTGAAGCTAGGAGGGTTGTCCAAGGTTGAAGGGCCTGATCTGAGTAGATGGTGGCTGGGTGCCCACCAGAAGAGCAGCCTCCCTACTGAGGTCGTCCTTCCTCTCTTATCCAAGTATCCAGGGTGTGTGTGTGTGTGTGTGTGTGTGTGTGTGTGTGTGTGTGTGTGTGTGTGTACACATGAAGGTTTTTGTGTGCATATGTGGAGGGGAGCGTCACCCATAGAGTGTAATTTCCTACTGATGGCTTCAGTGGCGACAAAGGCCTTGAGGTCTTGCCTGGGTTCCCAGGATGCATTACCATGCCATCCAGAGACCACCACCCAGGGCCCCTGACTTTTCTTCCTCCTGGTGGTTAGAGGTGTGTTTATCCACACAGAGGGTTCAGCAGTCCCGCGTGAGATGGAAATGAGGATGGTGATTTAGGGAACTTCAAAGGTGGAGGAAATCTCTGACTTCAAGGTCTGGATGGGACTCCACTTTCCCTGTGCTGTGTGTGGGAAGCAGGCCCCTCTTCAAAGTGGAAGGCAAGAGGCCAGGTGTCCTCCAGATGTGTGGATGATTCCCAGGGGCCCAGCATTCCACCAAAGCACCGAGAGCAGCTCCTGGCATCTGGCTCTGCCCAGGGTTCTTCAGAAGCTCCCGCGTCTCCCCAGCCACAAAGCTTCCTTGACCCCTTCTGCGCCCTCTCTTGGACGTGGCTACCTTTTCCCTTGCCTTTCCCAGGTCATCCACAACTACGGCCATGGAGGCTATGGGCTCACGATTCACTGGGGCTGTGCACTGGAGGCAGCCAAGCTCTTTGGGGAAATCCTGGAAGAAAAGGCGCTATCCCGGATGCCACCATCTCACCTCTGAGAATGCCAGTGACCGGCAGCTTCCCCACAAGGATTCCTCATTCCCCCTCGACCGACTAATCAATGTGCTCCCCACAAACCCTGTGCTTACCCCTTGCCCCCAATCCTGCTTCTTTCTACAAATGGGCCCAAAGGGAGAGGAAGCCACAGGTCCATCCCTGGAGGGGCATCCAACCTCATGTGCAGCCCCCCGAGGGCTGAGGTCACCCTTCTCTGTCTCTGGGCCTGACAGTGTGAAGAACAGCAGGGACTTTGTCCTGTAAGTCCTCAGAAGAAAGGAAAACTCAGAAAATCAAAGAGACCAGCTGCCCAAAGACACAGAAATTGAAGTTGATTGAGGTTAAATAACTTGACTATAAGCCATACAAACATATTAAAGGTTCTGAAAAATCCTGCAGCAAAGACTCCTATTTGATGTTGTTTCACGCAGTGTCTCCTACATCTACCTTGCTATGGAAAGCTTTTGCCCAGAACATCCATCAGAGCCAGGGAACCCACTTGGGGAAGCGCTGCAGCAGATTTTTTCTAGGAAGTTAGATGTAGAACTGGGGTGTGGAAGAGGCAGGAGAGGTGAAGTGTTGAACTGTTGATATGTGAGGCCTGCTCCACATCCAGGACCTCAGATGGCTGGCTCCAGTTGTCCACAGAGTGGACCCATGGGCTCCACGGGACCATCGAGGGGCCACTAGGAGGATTATTCCACAAGGAACCCCATCCTAAACTAAGCTCACTGTGCATGGTCCTTGTGGAGATTTCATGTCTTTCTTGAGTTCTGGCTGGGCCCCCCTGGGATGACAATCTCCCAGATATTTTTTGAAAGCCTTAAATGATCCTATATTAGTCAGGGTTCTCTAGGACAGAACCAGTAGAATGGGTGGACAGATGGATGAAGAGATAGATAGATAGATAGATAGATAGATAGATAGATAGACAGACAGATAGACAATAGGTGACAGATAGATTGTCAGAAAGATAAGAGGGTGGTTAGGGGAAATGGCTTGCATGGCGGGTAAGAAGTCCTGTGTCGGGCCATCATGCAGGAGCATGTTTCAGTCTCACTCTGAAATCTTCAGCACCAGGGAGGTTGAGGGTGTAACTGTCATCAGAGGCTGACATTTTTGAGAAACTGGGGTGGCTGGTGTCAATCCTAGAGTTTAAAGGCCAGAAGGGCCAGGGATTTAGCTCAGTGGTTCCGCTGCCTGCCTCACAAGTGCAAGGTCTTGAGTTAGATTCCTAGTACCAAAACAATAATAATAATAGTAATAATAATAATAATAATAATAATGACAAGAAAAACTGTGCATCTCAGAACAGGTAACATTTGAGCTGGGGATTTTAGCTCAGTGGCGCCGCACCTACACAAGGTCCTGTGTTTGATCACCGGTACCGGAAAAAAAACAAAACAAAAAAATAAATGAAATACAAAATAAGGGCTGGGGATTTACCTCAGTGGTTTTGCTGCCTGCTGCGCAGGCACAAGGACCCGAGTTCAATCCCCGGTACCAAAAATAAAATAAAATAAAAGTTCAGTCGGGCATGGTGGCACATGTGCCCATAATCCCAGCACTCGAAAGGGTGAGGCAGGAGGATCATTGTGAGTTCGAGGGTAGCTTGGGCTACATAGTGAGTTCAAGGCACTACAAAGTGAGACCCTATCTCAATAAATAAATAAATAAACAAACAAACAAATAAACAAATAAAGGCCAGAGATTCTGGTGTCCAAGGGCAGGAGAAGAAGGAAGAGTATCACAGCTCTAGCAGAGATGGGAAAGGCTCCTTTCCCTGCAAATCAGGCTGGATGGTGCCTGCTCACACTGCGGGCTGGTCTCCCCCACCCAATCCAAAGTCTCCTGCGCTAGTCTTCTCTGGAAGCACCCTCCCAGACACATCCAGACACAAAGCTTTACCAGTTCATTCCTTAACCTAGGCAGGCTGACACCCAAAAGGAACCATCGCAAAACCCGTCAGCATCTTCATCCCTCATTGCCTGCCTCTGCCTCTGAGGTCGAATGTTCACCTGTCTGAGATTCTGTGAAAGGCCAGAGCCCAGGAAGCTTCATGCATCTTGGATTGGGGGTACCCTGTGTGCTGGGAGGGGGTATCATTGGCCCATGGAATGTCACCCCATGCTATGCCCACAATACTTCTCAGGCCATTTCATCAGATGGGTTCTTCACAAAGCATGTATCATGATGCTGCCTAGTCCTAAGCTAAATTGGATGAGAGACCCCAGATCTAAGAGTTCTAGCCTAACAATGATGATTATTAGCATAGCTAAAAATTTACTGCACCCTGAGTACCAGGCTGTGGTCACCTCTTGTACACAGCACTCATTTAATCCTCACAAAAGCCCCCAGGAAATCATTAGTATCCCCATTTCATAGGTGAGAAGATTGAGGCATGGAGAGGCAACCCAAGGTCAGCAGATGGCAAACAGGAGAATGAAGATTCAGGGCCCAAAATCATCTGATCTCAGTGCCTCCCTTTACCCATGATGCAACAGGAAATCCCAACTTGGGGGCAATACATTTATGGAGGAACTGCTTGGCTTCTTACCCAACTCTCTGCAAACATATTGAAAAGAAATTTGCTCTCTCCTTACAGTCACATTTGGCAAAGACCAGGGGCTTCTGACAAGGATTCCAGGACAGGGGACACATCTTGGTGTTTGGATTGAGACTCAGTATTTAAGGTTGACCAAAGGAATTTCTTTTCCCAAACTAAAATCATCTAGGGAAGTGGACCCCCGCTGTTCAAAGATAATTGTCCACAAGAGCACCATAGGGTCCAGTGTTTGGTGAACTCACAAAACCACATGAGGTCAGGAAAGTCTATATTCAGACCCAAAGTGACAAAGTGACTCTCTTGGGTTTTTGTTTTGGTAAGTGGTTACAGTTTCTTTGAAGTACGTCTTCCTCTTGATTCTGTCCCAAAAATGCAGAATAGGAGCACCAGAGAAACCTGTAACCCACATGGGTTTGTAAATTTTATAACAGTTGATTTATGCACTTTCTCTAAGTTGTCCAGTCTGGTCTTGAACTTGTGATCCTCCCACCTCAGCCTCCCAAGTAGTGGGGATTATAACTGTGCACCACTGCCCCTAGCCTCCATTTTATTTTTGTTCAAATCTGTAACATGTCAGAGGTTACAAACCGGCAGCCCATCAAGTGCCCATCAACCTGGACTGAATATGAATTTTATTCAGCTCACACATCATTTAAAATGTTTTTGATTCAACATTCCAAAACTTGGAGATTTCCCATAAAAATCCAGTCTTGAAAATCAGGAGATCTGGTCACACTGGACTCACCATGCAACAGGGTCAGCTGCAGCTCCATAGCATTCAACCCTTTTGGATGGGGTCTGTTGCTCCCTTCCTGTTGCTCCACTTCTACTTCTCATTCTGATGATCAGCCCGAGTTAAATGTCTGTTCCTTGCAACTGAGACAGCTTTGATGAGAACCTGATGGCCCGCACATCCAGGGCGGTCCCCCACTCAAACGCTGCCTGTCCAATGGCCACTGTCACCCTTCTCCACGCTGCTAGAATCCCAAGTTTACATTCAAGGGGTTGTGGACATACCTCGGTCTTATGGAATGTAGGCCTTTCCTTCCCCAGGCCTAGGGGATGACTCCTATTGGCAAGGACCTGTGACCCGGGTCTGATTAATGAGAAGCAAAGGTAAATCTGGGGAGGACTTTCCTTTCCAATCCAAAACAACAGACCCTTCTGGAAGAGAAATTTTTTTCCCATTCACCTTTCTTTGACAATAAATGTGGTGCTCCACACGTTACCAGCCATCTCATGCCTGTGAGGTCTCTTACACAGAATCAAATGCACAGCATGCAGAGGAAAGGCAAAAAGAAGCTGGGTCCTGGACACCGCCGTGGAGCTGCTGAAACTTCCCTGCACTCTGCTTGACTCTGGGCTTCTTGCTAAGTGGGCAATGATTGTTCTAAAGGTTTAAACCTTGATGGACTGTGTTTACTGCTACTTGCAGCTAAAAGTATCCTTGGAGGTCTATTAGTAAGAACAAGGGGAGAGGGCCAGGGATTTAGCTCAGTGGTTTCGCCACCTGCTGCACAAGCCCAAAGACCCTAGTTCGATCCCCGGTACCAAAAAAAACAAGGGGAGGACTCACGATCTCACCAGCCAGAGCTTTCTATTGCTTCACACTATTAAAAACATTGAATATCCATATTCCTTTCCAAGTTGATTCCTAAGATACTCTTTCATCTCATTGTCAATACCACCAAGGTCATTTATGTGTGCTTAAGAATACTTGAAGAAGGGGCCGGGGATTTAGCTCAGTGGTTCCGCCACCTGCCTCACAAGCGCAAGGACCGGAGTTCGATCCCTGGCACCAAAAAATAAAAAAAAAGAATACTTGAAGAGAAAGAAATGTAGAGCCTGGCTCTGCTGAACATCTCTGGACATTTTCTGAAATCTTTTCTAACATGGAGATGACATTTCTATTAATGGAAACAGGAGCTTTTCTGAACAGGATTGTTCAATAGATGCAAACATCTTTAGCTAAAGGCCCCATGTATTTCAGACTCTTGGGAGACTTCTGTGGCAGTTCTTATATTATTTGATAATACTGATTTTTGTTTTGGGGTTTTTTTTTTTGTGGTACTGGGGATCAAACTCAGGATCTTGCGCTTGTGAGGCAGGTATGGCACCACTGAGCTAAATTACTTACCCAATACTGATTTTTTTTTTTAAGGGGTAGGCTATTTAGTAGGCAAAGAGTTTTTAATTTCCTTTTTCTCAATTGGAAAACCGTGATCCCCTTCATCCAGCCCCTGGAAAACATTCCCGCTCACAAGGCACTCCCTCCCCACCCAGTCCTCAGCTCGCCTGGATATTGGAGCGTGAAGAGGTGGAAATGATTATCTGCCAGCATCTGACCAGCTGGAAGGCAAAAAAAACAAGTGAAGGTTCTGTGCTACCCAGGAGAACTCAGTCATCTACGAATAATCAGAGCCACAGCTGCTCATAGTTCAAGAACAAGGGGATGTCCAAAAGAGACTGGCCTGCCAAGCAGTCTCCTGTCGGCCTGCCTGGGACATGGGATTGCTTGCTATTGATCTAGGCCTGAAGATGTCATCCATCATGGTCTCAATGTCACCAGCCAACTGTGTGTCCTCCCCACAGCCCATTAGAGAAGAGGTTATCACGACAAAGCATTGAGATCAATTCAGATGGACAAAGTTAATAAGACCATTAAGTTGAACTGTCACTAGGACTTTATGACAAGTGACCAAACGTAGACCTTGCGATGTCCATCACCAACATGTTTTAATAAGAGATGAACGCACACATTTGGCTTCCTTGCAATGTTTACTTCGAGCAATGGGTCTATTTTCTCTGGCCTTTGATGGGATCTGCAGCTTCCTCCCTCCTTCTCTAGGTCCCCGTCTTCACCACAGGGAAGACCCAATCCTGGGAGTGGATGTAGTCTGTGGAGACCTAGCTCCAGCCCCTCCTCTTGGGCCAACCCCATGCTCAAGGGCCTTCTTCCTTCTCCTCTGAAATGTACGCCTTGCACACACCTATGCCCTCCTGCTCCTCCCCATTCCAGGGCATCTCTGCTGTGGGCTCCATTACTGAAAGCCAGGAGCTGCCTCTGTAAGGACAAGGACAGCTCCAGACAGAGGGGGCAGCACAGAAATGGGACACGTATTGAGGGCAGGGGTACACATCAGTATTCCTGATCCCCAGACCTTGACCAGAGCCAGTGATTAATGTCACAATGGGTTTCTCTGCCCATTCAGCCATCTACCTACCCACAAAATCCAAACCCCTGAAACCTGAGTGAGCTGTTTTCTTTCCCCCAGAGTCACCATTCAGCCTGACCCAGGAGAAGGCCAGAAAAGACACCCTGGCTTCAGAAGGAGAGGCTCCTGCTGCGGCTTCCTTTCCTTTGGGCTTTAGTCCCCAATTTCCAGGTTGGAGTGGGGTAACAGCTTTTCTAGCTCTCCCCAGGGACACAACTGGATCCCCAGGAGCCAGAGAGAGCAACCTCAGAGAGGGCAAGGTGGGCGCACACGGCTCCATTTCAAACATGTCTATCTGCCAGAGTCCCCACCAGGCAGACTCTAGGGAGCCAGTCAGAAGGGCCCTGCTGAGAGAACTCAGGACCTCGGGCCACACACCTAGGTCACCTGTTATTTCAAAGAAGAAAACCTGGGGCCTGGAGTGTAGGAGACACTTACTGAATAGGTCTATTTATGGAGGGCCTGGAGTGTATCTACAGATTTTTTTCGGTGGTTGCCACTGAGGGTGTGGGCAGGTGACTGTTTAGCAGCCAGTATCCCTACCCCTCCTGCGGTGGCAGTTTTCCCATGCAGATCCACAGGTTATTAGTAAACTTTCCCCCGACACACAGACACCCAGAGCAAATGCCTCCCCATCCCCGGTGGACCTCAATGAATATGGGCAAACAGAGTCACGACACAGAGCCCTGTTGGTCCAGGTCACCCTTGAGTGAATTCTTGACGTCACCAGTGACCATGAGTGGCTCAGCTGGGCTCTGCCAGCTCCCCAGGCTCTACAGCCTCCAAGACCAGCTCAGCCCCGCAGGGGTCACTATTCCTGAGAGCCAGAGTTCGACCTGGCGACACCGGCTCCGTGAGCCCCTCGGCCAACCATCTCCTGGCCCCACTCCCTGTGGCTGGACTCCTGTAGTCCTCGGCCTTTGGTCTCGATGGGCAGAAAGCAGGAGGCCAGGGCAGCCAGGAGGCAGCAGCCACTGTAAACCGCCAGGGTCAGGTACACGGATGACTCCAACATCACCTGAGGGAGGGAGATGCAGGCCAATGAGAATGTCCTCTCTGGAGCAGACACACCAGGCAATATCTCTATGAGCTCAGCACTTCACCCTCATTTCACAGAGGAGGAAACTGAGGCTCGAAGAGGACAAGTAGCATGCCTGAGCTCATCCAGGTAATAGGGATGGGACCAGGATCTGAACTCAGGCGATCGGGATCAGGAGTCTGGACTCCTCCAAACTGTACTTTGGCCATGCCATTCCTAGCTTCATAACACAAGCAAACCACATGACAGAACTGACTCCCATTTCCTCCTCTGCCTAAGGGGCATAAGGACAGAGCCACTTACTAGTGAGGGGAAGCTGGGGAACACCTGGCACCATGGCGGGCTCACAACCAGTGTCGGTTAGGAGTGACATACAATGGCCGACGACAACAATGCAGAACAGAAATACTTGGGTAAAATATGTGCTGAGGAAGGAGAATCTTAAGTTCAAGACCAGCCTGGGCAAATTAGTAAGATCCTGTCTCAAAATAAAAAATAAAAAGGGCTGGGGACGTAGTTCCGTGGTACAGTACCCTGGGTTTGATCCCCAGTACTGCAAACAAACAATCAAACAAATGAGAAAGCCATGTACTGGAATTCCACTTATCTGGATTTTTGGGGTGATAAGAATGTTTTGGAACTAGATACAGATGGTAGATATACAACACTGCAAATGTGCTGAATGTCACTGAATTTAAGATGGTCAATTTTAGTTATGTGACTTTTACCTCAATATAAATGATAAAAAGAAAGAAAAGAATTGGACATTCCAAAAGCAAAAGACTTAATGAGATTCCCTAAAAATGGATAGATATATTTCAAAGGCACACAGGGTTGCAAAATTTTGTTAATTATCCCTAATTATCCAATTGAAAAAGGAGAGTCTAGGATAGTGATGATGAACCTTTTAGAGATGAGTGCCCAAACTGCAATCAAACCCACTTATTTATTGCAAAGTGTGAACCCTGTGATTAAACCTGAATACTGAAGTTTTAGATTAGAAAAAAAAACTTATATATTAACATTTTTTGTCTTAAAAGAAAACCAAATAACACACGTGCCATAGGCTTGCCACCATTGGACTGGGATATTTATTTTCATGTGATCAACTTATTTTTTTTTCTTTTTTGAGACAGCATCTTGCTATGTTGCCCAAGCTGGCTTTGAACTCCTGGGCTTGAGTGATCCTCCTGCCTCAGCCTCCTGAATAGCTGGGATTACAAACACATGCCACCACACCCTGCTTATCCAAACTGTCATGGGTCAAACCATCAGGCACCCTGAAAGTCTTCTGCATAGGAAAGAACTGAACATGACTGGGTTCCTCTACTTCCCAGCTATGTGATCTTGGGCAACTCCCTTTACCCTTCGAGCCTCAGTATTTCTCTCATAGAGGGGGGGGGGTTTAAGGATGAAAGAAGGTATGACAGGCAAAGGGCTCTGCAGAAGGCTCACCTACAGGGACTGCTTGGTGTGCCCTGGGCTTCCCCAGACCCCATGCTTGGGGTAACACCTACCTGAGCAATGAACGGAGTGATGAGAGCACCCACTCTCGCCATGCCACTGCAGGTGCCCAGGCCCAGTGCCCGCGTCGCCGTGGGGTAGACCTGGAAGGGCAGCCGGATGTGGGCTTTGGGAAACAGCCATCCCCCTTCCCCAGCAGCTCAGGGTGACGGGGTCAACCCCTGGGGGCGGGTCTGATTCCCTCCAGTGTTGCTTCCCCCCCCCAAGGGCTGGCAGACTGGGCCAAAGGGCACTCTCACCCCCAAGGAGAGGAAGTTCTGACAAGACAGGGCAAGAGGCTAGTCACCAGCAGGATCCCATCTCCCACATTCTGTTCCTCTGCTGCGACTGCCGACCTCAATGGGTATTTGTGGTTTACAGTTCAATAGGGAGTGAGCAACACTATGGTGTGTTTGTGTCTCCTCTAAAATGGTAATATATAATATAAAATCTATATAATGCTTGGCATATGGTTGGTACTCGATTCTAAAATAAATGAATTAGCACTATACTCCTGTTTATTTCTATGACGGAGAATTTTAAAAATAGACTAAGGCAGGGGCCGGGGATTTAGCTCAGTGGTTTCACCGCCTGCTGCGCAAGTGCAAGGACCCAAGTTTGATGTCTGGTACCAAAAAAAAAAAAAAAATAGACTAAGGCAGAATGCTACAGAGAATTCTCTCATCCAAGCACTGTGGCCTCTCACCTTCTTCCTATCCCCAGTTACACAGAAGCAAATTCCGGGGGGGATACCGTTTCATCCCCTACGTGTTCAGTACATGGTGCTTTGGATGGGGAGGGGGGGCGGTACTGGGGATTAAACTCAGGACCTAGGATTTCATACTGTACATCTCTAGTCTTTTTATTTTTTAATTTTGAGACAGGGTCTTGCTAAGTCTCTAAGTTGGCCAGTCTGGACTTGAATTTGTGATCCTCCTGCCTCAGCTTCCCAGAATGCTGAGGATTATAGGCAAGTGCCACCATGGTTTTTCTTTTAGAAAAAGATGTGGATAGCTTTCATGTCCATTTTTGGTCTTTTTTAGCAGTGTATTTTTTTGTTGTTGGGTTTTGGTTTTTTGGATTTTTTTCATTGGTAGGTGAGATTGAACTCTGAAGTGCTGAGCTACATCCCCTTTTTTATTTTATTTTGACAAATCCATGATTCTTTTGTTTTGTTTTGTTACTTGAGACAAGGTCTCACTATTAGTTCAGGCTGGCCTTGAACTCACTACGTAGCCCAGGCTGGCCTCGAACTTACAGCAAATCCTCCTGCCTCAGGCTCCCAAGTTCTGGGATTACAAGCATGCCCCACTGGGCCTGGATTATTTTATTTTGAGACAAGGTCTCTCTCAGAAAGTTCTGGGCTTTGGGAGCCATGTGGTCTCTGGCTTCTACTCAACTCTGCTCCTGTTACCCCACAGAGTAACAAGACAGATGCTCCTTGACTGATAAACCTGTGGTACATTGAAAATATCTTTTTTTTTCTTTTCTTTTTTTGTTTCTTCTGTTTTTGTTTTTACATTGAAAATATCGTAAGTCAAAAATGCATTTAATGTACTTAACCTACTGAACATCATAGTACAGGTTCTACATACTATGGGTTTCACTCCAGCCTAAAGCTGAAACTCCCTAAGTCAGGATTCATCTATATATGAAAGGCTGTGGTATGTTCCAATAAAACTTTATTAATAAACCCTGAAATTTGGATTTCACCTGTGTCCTGCCACTAAAAGTCCCACACAATTCTCTCTAAGACACTTTCATCCAAATGGCTTTGGGTGGTGGTAGTTTCCTCAGGTATTTCCCCCAATTGTGGGCTCTGGGGCACCACAGTGGCTTGTTGGTTTCCCTAATCCTTACCCCACACCAAGGTAATCAGGCCCTTTATTGTATTTATTTCTTTTTGGTACCAGGGATCAAACTCAGGACCTTGTGCTTGCGAGGCAGGGCGGCAGCACCACTGAGCTAAATTCCCAGCCCTAACTAGGCCCTTTATTAAACTCTTCGCAATTACCAGCTGCCCTGTGTGACTGATAAACCTCCATATGCTCAAGAATCATGTGGGAAAATACTCACTGAACCAAGCCAGAAGTTCATCTCTAGGAAGGGAGAATGTGGGACCCTTTCATGTTGGGTTTTATACAGGTAACATTTGGAATTTTGACACTGAGCATAGTGTTCTATAAAGCAGGAAAAAAAAATGATTGCAAAATGGGCTGAAATAATGAAGGGCTTCACAATCAGCACTCAGATTCAAGGACAAATTCATTCCCAGCATCCCGACTGGGTGTTTCTGGAAGAAGGGCATCCCCCTCCCTCCCGGCCCTGGCTGTTCCCAGACACCCCTCCTACCTCAGGCGTGTAAACATAGGCAGCTTGGAAGCCTCCAGAAATAAACGCTCTTGCAATGAAGAGTAACAAAGTGAGCACATTTCTGTGGAATGGAGAAAAAGTAGAGGAGCCAGTATTTTTTTTTTTAATGTCTGCTTGTTTCAGTAAAATCTTACATTCTCTGGCAGAATTTACACCCTAGAAATTGGCAGGCACACATCCTGTGCAGGTACACATCCTGTGCAGGTACACACATCCCAACACCATCTCTAAAGGTGTTTGTTTTTCCTCTGTGCTGCCAGGAATTAAACCTCATGTCTTATGCATGCTAGGCAAGCACTTCACCACTGAGCTACATTCCCAACCTTTTTCATTTTTTATTTTGAGACAGGGTCCCAGTAAGTTGCCCCAGGCCAGCCTCAAACTAGTAGGCCTCCTGGCTCGGCCTTCCAGAGTGCTGGGATTACAGATTTACACATTTTTATGTTGTGGGGATCTTGGGAGTTGGGAGAAAATGGAGAAATGCCAAAACAGGATCTCTTTGAAATAGGGTCAATTTCCATTGAACAAATCAATACTATTAACACATATGAAAACAGCTATGTGTTTGATCCCTTTTGGAGTTGATGGTCAAAGTCTATATTTAATGTGATTGGATCAAACCTGGGGCCAAAGGTCTCTCCTGCACCTGCTCCTATCAGAAGCTCTGACATGGCCATGAGCCTCAGTGCTGTTGAGGGGCTGGGAGGGGTCCTTCCGATAACCCACCTTCCAACACAGATGAACAGCAGGAGGCTGCAGAAGGAGAAGATGATGAAGCATAGGGCCATGGTCTTCTTGCGGCCCAGGCGATCAATGATCCACAGAGTCACAAGAACACCTGCCAGGGAGGAGGGGCATGGTGGGCAGCTTCAGAGAATTAAAATCATAGAAACACTGAGTGCTTAAAGTCATGGAAATGTCACACATTTAAAGTCACCAGAAATGGTGATTAAATTCCCATCTGAGCCCTGAACACTACCCACTAAGCCATACGGGAAAAGGATTTCAGAAGAAGGATTAACAATGTAGTACAGCATTGAAGATCTTGGACCCTAAGATCCAGTTCTTAGCTTTGTCAGGTATGGGACACTTGGTGTCTTAGCTATGTTTTCCCAGAAGTAGAGCCCTGGACAAGGATGCAAATGCAAGGTGCTGACTCAGAGGTGATTCAAGCAGGCACCAGGAGAGTGGGAAGGGAAGACAAATAATAAGGGTGAGTATGGAGCAAGTTACCATTGCAGACAGTTGGAGCTGAATTCCATTGAGAGACTGAATTCCACTGAAATGTATACTGTGCACTTTTGACTTTTCTTGCCTGATGGGCAAAGAAGCTGAGGTATTTATATACCAACTCCTGTAATTATTATTTGAAGGCTGCTCCTAGGGACTAACCCTCCTAGCTACTGTGCTTGTTTTTAGCTACCAAGGCCTTCATTGAGATAAAGCTCTCATTCATAGAGATGCAGGTACTGACAGGTGCAAGGTGTGTGGACCATTTCTGCTACACGGGGCAAGTTACAGCACCTCCTCAAAGCTTGGTTGGTTCAGCTGTAACATGGAAATAATTATACTACTTCAAAAGAGTCAATGATACCATATCTGCAAAGCATTTAGCACAGTTCCTGATATGCAGTAAATGTTTGAGAATAGTTTTTGTTGTTGTTTTGTTTGATAGTGCTAGGAATAGAACCCAAAGCTTTGCACGTGCTAGGCAAGCAATCTACCACTGAGCTACATCCCTACCCCCCAAAATAGTGGATATTTTTATTGTTACAATAATTATTCTTCCTTCAAAGACAAAGATACTGTCTCCCTCTGGTGCAAAGGGCCCGTTTGTTCATGGAGCAATATAATAAAGATGATGTCTCCTGTCGGGGCAAAGATTGTACAGGTACCTGGTGGTCCATTACAGACGATTTGGGTCTCCTAAGCTTGGGGATCCTTGGTGCTGTGGTTTGAATATGGCTTGAGTATGTCCCCCAAAGGTATGTGGGCTGGGAGTTTGGTCTTCAGTGTGGTAGTGTTAAGAAGTAGTGGGAGCTTTAAGAGTTAGGGCCCGGTAGGAGGTTGTTACTGGCCTTTCCAGTCTCTGTCTCACTACTGTGATATCATCCACCATGAGATCCTCACCAGAACCAGTCCACAGTTCTGGAGCTGTGAGCTGCAAAACATCTTTTCTTTATAAACCACTCAGCCTTAGGTACTTTCATTTTTAATGGAAAATGAACTCATACAACTCAGCTGTATTGTAATTCTATTGCATATGTAGCTTCCACTTGGGCTCTCCTTCAGCATCCATGTGAGACTTGAGGGAAGAGGGACCAACACCAATATATATAACTCATGCTGCTTGTTATGACTGACTTTTGTCTCTGATCGAGGAGTCTCATGCCTCCTGCTGGCAGGCCCAAGCCTGGGCAGCCTGTTAGCCTTTAAGCAGGGTGGAATTCTCTGCCCCTTCATAATTCTTAGCAACTTGAAGGAAACAATCCCTGGCTCCTATAGAAATGGGATTTGTGTCCAGAAGGCAGAGGCAGAGCACCCAGCTGAGTAGATGCCATGTTCTCTGGCTTCCATGCCCCAGCCTCACCCAGCACAAGTTCCTCACCTGGAAACTCAGAGAGAGTGGTCCACAGCAGGTCCATGTAGTCCTCCTCACTCAGGTACTCACAGGCCAGGCTGCATTTCGCTTCTACTGCCTTCTTCCGACTGGAGACTAGGGGTAGGGGAGGAGGAAGAGTCACACCATCTTGAACCACACCTTCCTGCTCCCTACACCTTCTTCCAGGCTATGATTCAGCTAGGGTACCAAAGAAAGAGCCCAGGAGACAGACAGATTCAGGTTTGAACCCCAAAAAGGAAAGCTCCAGCTGCATCCCACGGTATCCCCTTTTGCACATTAATAAATCTGTATGCATTTCATCTGTTTAATCTTTTTCTGTTGTTTAATTCTGTGAATCTTCAGAGGATATAGGAGAATTTCCCTTTGCCCCTTATAACCGGCACACAGCTGGTGCTTGTTTACTTCTACAAGAGGTGATCAAAATATACAATTAATAGAGATAATACAATTGGGGCTACAGGACCACTCCTCACCACTCACCTGAACTTGGGCAATGCCCCAGGACCAACCTGCCTCCCCACCTTTGTCCTAAGGGCTACTACCCAGAGATAAGTAGAGATAAGATGTGTGTGTGTGTGTGCGCGCGCACACGAGTACAAGCCCGATTGAAGGTTCATGCATTTGCACTGCATCTTATGCCTCCAATATAAGAGAGTGAATTATGGGGAAGGACATTTGCGACAGATACAGCAGATTGCCTTGGCACTCTGTCAATCACATTTTCAACACACTCTGGAAGACCCAAAAGGAGGCACCGTAGGCCCAGTGCAACATTTAAATTTTAAACCCAACACATGAATGAGTTTAAATTCTTAAACCAATAACAAGTTAAAGGGATGATGTTTAAGAAAGGAAGACACTTTATTTGTAAGGAGGAAAGAGCAGAAGACAGAAAGCTGCCCTGTGAGAGGTGAGGGCAGAGGGTCCGGTCCAAGTCTTTGTCTCCGGCTTCCCTTTATTATGTTTTGGGGGACCCTTACCCCTACTTGGGCACCTGGAACTTGTCACAACCTGATAGATTCTCTGGGCTGGCTCAGATGGGTTTAAATTCTTTTTTTTTTTTTTTTGGTACCGAGGATCGAACTTGGGTCCTTGTGCTTATGCAGCCATGGCGAAACCACTGAGCTAAATCCCTGGCCCAGATGGGTTTAAATTCTTGAACCCATTCATGCCATTTACCTTTCTGCAGGTGTGAGCCCGCTCACTCTGAGTATACTATTACCTAATTAAACTTCGTTAAACTGTGCTTCTTTTTCCTTTCCATTGAGTGCTACATCCATTTATTTATTTATTTATTTATTTATTTATTTATTTATTTATCGGTACCAGGGATCGAACTCTGGACCTTGTGCTTGCAAGGCAGGTGGCACAACCACTGAGCTAAATCCCTGGCAACATCCAATTATTTGTTCATTGTGCACAAGAACCTAGAAACCCGATGGGACCCCATCACCAGTTGAGTTTAACACAGTGAATGTTTAATTTTTTAAAAAATATATTACAGTAAAAGGCACTTTGCTGTAGGGGAAAAGTCTGTAGGCAGGGAAAGACTAGAACAGGGGCTTCATTAGGCTTCCTGGCTAATCCTGACTAGAAAGAGTTAAAACTTTACTGGACAGAACAACTAAAAGGACAAGGATAGTGAGAAGAAACCCGATAAAGAAAGGCACCAAACGGCAAAGGGACTTACACGGAAGGATCAGAGGGAGGGCTGACAAGCAGAGTACAAGGGAAGCCAGGTGCTCAAAACCAAGATAGCAGCCCCGTCCCACCTCCAATAAAAAGCAAAGGGGACAAAAGGGAGAGGGGACTACTGACTTTAAGGAAAATTATATAAAAATATATATGTATTCCCACTCCAGGGTCACTATATCACCGCACTAGATAACACCCATCCCCTTAATTGGTAACCTTAAATTGCCTTTCTATGAGACTCCTCCTAGCTGACCTATAAATCCCAGAGATAAGGCCCTGACAAGGACAAACCAGCAGGAGGAAATCAAACAAAGCCTCCCAAAGGAATGTGCATGTAGGCAGTGGTGCCTGGGTTAGGGTCTTGGGGGCTGGAACCCATCTGAGCCAGCCCAGAGAATCTATCAGGTTGTGACAAGTTCCAGGTGCCCAAGTAGGGGTAAGGGTCTCCCAAAACATAATAAAGGGAAGCCGGAGACAAAGACTTGGACCGGACCCTCTGCCCTCACCCCTCACAGGGCAGCTTTCTGTCTTCTGCTTTTTCCTTCTTACAAATGAAGTGTCTTCCTTTCTGAAATGCCATCCCCTCAATCTGTTACTGGTGTCGAGTTTATAATCCCAGTTGGCTGCTCATCCCAGCGGAGCAGTGTCACATCCCTGATGGAACACTGCCATACTTCCCCTTGCTTCAAACACACTTATCCCGTCAGTCTTGCCACTTTCTGAAGCAGTTCTGGAAGTCCTCTTTCACGAGCATCTTTCACAGGTTATGATAAAAAATAGAGTGAATGCCCCTGCTGAAATTCATCCAACAGAAAAGCAAGCTCCTAAAAACATTACAGTGTGTCCTCATCTAGCTCCTTCATTAGATCGGGAATCATGCAACTTCTGGCTCTTCTGCAAACTCAGAATAGATGTAGCTAAGTGACACAGCACATGCCTGGCAAGAGTGAGCCCCTGAGTTTGATTCCCAGTCCAAAAAAAAAAAGACCATGAAAGTGAAACTCTTTGAATCAATTCATCAACAGGCTGGGAATGAGAGGTTCCCAGAACTGAAATAAGGAATTTAACCCACTTGTTTATAAACTAAGTTTGCAGGCTTGCTGGCTCTTGTCACAGAAAAAGAATTTTCGGGACATGTCAGTAAGAGGCACTCAAGAGTGAAGTGTGGGTGCTCAAAGAAATTATTATATATACAGCTAAGTTAGGTAGAAATATTACAGGCAGTCAGACAAGACCAGGCCCTTGAAGAAGTCAGTGCAGAAGATAAGAACACAATACAACTTTGAGTGGAGGCACATTCCTTACAGGCCTGAAGACAAAGATGAAATAACCATACCTACTTCCCCAGGGATAAACAACAATGACTGATATTCTAAATAGCCATCAATCAGCTAGGTGAGGGACCCAGACCTTGATTCGTCCCTTCCAGGAAAGGTCCTTATTCTTTCCACTTGCTACTGACTTGCTTCCCCATTGGATCAATATTACCTAAGCGACTATACTTATAATCTTATTGGTTGACCCTAGTTTTGTCCCACCTTATGCCCATCTCATGATTTTGTACCCACCTTGTGCTTTTGCTTTATAAAACTTCTCTGTGAAGTGGGCTCGTGGGCAGCCCACTTCCCGGGCCCCCTTTTTTTTCCGGACTCTCCTAGACAGAAGTTCTTTCCCTCAATAAATATTTCCTACTCTTAACCTCCGTTGTTCATAGAATTCATTCTTCGATTTTAGAGAACACAAACTTGGCACATCAGACATCTAACAGGTTGGAAGTTATAATATTTCCCTTATATCATTTGGATGAATTTATATCATCCCTATATCAAAGTGAGATGCACTAGTTTGGAACTGGGAATATGTATGTGTTTTTGGTGGTGGAAATCTGTGTAATTTGATACTGCATAGTCTTGGTCTGGTGGGTGGGTGGGGATGGCCAACACATAATAAAATAATCTTCCAGTGTTTCTGCAGTGGCCTAATTTATAGGGGGAAAGGCAGTCTATTCACAGGTGAGAGAGCACCATTTGCAAATAAAAAGGGAATGGTCAACCCATTTGCAGGTGAAAGGGAATTGCCCAGGTTTATCATGTTCTGGGAGAAGAGGAAAAAAAAACCAAAAAACTGTGCTTAGATCCTCCTTTTTCTGGTGGTGAGGATTAAATGCCTGGCCTTGTGCACACAAAGCCTAAGATCTACCACTGAGCTCCAAC